CTAGGAAACCAGCGCTGAAACTCCTTTGGAATTTAAATTCATTTTATCTTCCTCTCTCCTTCTGGGTCCGTTTGCGCTAGGGCGCGGGCCGCAGCGGCACCCCCGTTTGCAAGAAACACAATATCGTACAACGCGACCCGCGGGTTCCGCATTTATCCGCCCAGCCCCGCCGCGGTTCGGAAGATAACGTTTTTATTTAGAAGGGTGAGAGAAAAAGCAGAAAAGGCCGCCCGCAGCCCCTCCGTGGGAAGAGCGGGCAAAGGCTCCCGGCCGCCCCCCGCGCCCGCGCTCGGCAGTAGCGCGCCGTGCCGCCCCTCTCCGCGCCGGGCTGCCAGGGGAGACCCCGAAGCGGCGCCCCGGCCGTCGCAGCGAGAGGCTCGAGGGCTGAGGGTCGAGGGTCGCGGCGTGCGGCGGAGCAGCGCTCGGAGCGACGCGGCCCCCGGGCGGCCCGGTCCCGGCGCAGCTCCCCTCCTGCCCGCCGCGGCCGCAGCCCCGAGCGGCCTCACCGCAGCCGAGCCCAGCGGCACCCGCCCCAGCCGCTGCCGGGAGCAGCTCGTGCCCCTTCTGCGGCCGCTGCCGCATAAAGGCCCTTCATTCTGCGCTATTTAGGAGGGCCTCAGCGTTTATTAAGTAGTAACTCGAGTGTTTTGCATTCATTAGCGCAGCTCCTCAGAGAGGCATTACGGCCAAGAATAATCTCACGCCACAGGAAAACTGCTTTTCCACTCCCTCAACCTACACGGCGCTAACCACCCGCACGCACTAGGCTTATTTGTAAATATTTTTCCCGACGATGAAATCAAAGCACTCAGGGGCAGCACTTCCCCAGAGCTCGGGCCGTCCAGCAGGGCTGTGGCTGCACCCCGAGCCGTGTCCTCCTGCCCAGCCTCATGTCACGAGCGGCCTCAGCTCCAGCACTGGGGGCAGGTTGGTGCCTGTTGGAGCATTCGGGACCTCTTGGTCCCAGGGCTGCTCCCACGAGCAGGCCCACACATCTGCTCTTCATTCTAATAGCCCAGGCCAATAACCACAGGGCCATTTTATTTCTACTACTGGCAGTGCCAATGGATCTCCAACCGAACACGGAACAAACGCGAACTCAGCTGAAATAACCACAAAGGCTGCAAAGCCTCTGTTCAGAAATGTCTGAACATTGCTGCACACTCTTCCCAACCCTGGCCAAAAAAAATGTGCTGGAAATGTCAGGTCAACAGTAGGCTGGATGGAAACGCCCTTACATGCCCTGCAGTCTGCTCTGGGCTCTGCTCGGGGCTCTGTGCTCTCCTTAGCTTTCTGCCATATGGGGTTATTTACACCAGGAAAGACTGCTCAGAAGGATAGGATTAGGCTGGCATGGGACTCCTGAGAGAGCCCACAAACACAGAAACAATTTGTATTTCCTCTTGGTTTGTGCTTGATGTACTTGAGCCCTGGATGAAGACAGTTTCATAATTACATCTTTTTATTTCTAGGCTAAGGAAGTTCTCTGGAGAATAGGGAAGATGATCAAGAGGAGGCTGATCCCTATTACATGTAAATAGGCTCCAAATTTACATTACATTGGTGGCAAGGAGAACATTCTAACAGATTCTAATAGAGAACACTCTGATGAGACACTAACAAATACCAATTCATTCATTGAGCTGCAGCTTCCTCATCCTGCACAGATGTAGAAAGGCCAGATCTATCTGGAAGCTCTGAGAAACAGATCTACTCTCAGAAGCAGATGCATACAGGCTGAACACCATGGAGGTGTTTCCCCTGATATCCAAAGGCACATTTTCCAAGTAAGGCATTTTCAATCATTTGCGATTCGCAAGACTGATGTGAGTACATTCTCTGAAAAGAGATACAACCCCTGTGATGAACAATTCTGTAGGGAGGAAAGAGCTTGTGCCTTGCTGCTTTCTTTATGCTCTGAGTTTCCTCACCCCATCAGTCATTCAGCCTGCTCTCCACAGCAGAGCTCACCTTAGCCATATTTGTGAGCACTTTATACATTAACTGGGGATTTCAGAGAACAATTTTAATTCCATTAAAATCAATGGAAACTTCCAAGTCAATTAAATGGGGCCAGGATATCACCCTCAAGTTTTTTTTTCAGAACATTCAAATGCTTTTCTAAGTTGGCAAATATTCTACCTTTCTCTCATTTGGGGGTCACCATCAGCCAGCAGACAGGGAAGGTCAGATAGAGTATGTACACAGGCACCATAATGCTGCATAGTAATGGGTGCCTGAAAACTGCAAAACAAGTAAGTTCTTTTTCTGTTCTTCCTCCAGTGTTAGCCTAGTGCTTTCAGACCATACACCAGAAATGTTCTATTGTTGTTTTTAGTCACACCTAGAGCACATACCAACAGAACTGCCCAAGGAAGGTTCAAACTCAGAATACTGGGTTCTAAGTTCCTCTTTTCTTTTACTGAAGTGCACCTGGTTTTTGAGTGTTTGGAGGAAAGAAGAGCAGCTCAGAATCCACTTTTTTAATTGCCAGGATAACTTTCAGGCTGTGGACAAAGCAATCTGTGCATTAACAAAATCACAGTCCTAAATACTTTGAGATAAAACAAGAAAAACATGAGAGACTCTGTCTTTTCTGTGCTTGGGTTAAAACTACACTATCTGTTTTTTTTTTTTTGTATCCATCAGTAAGATCTCAAATGTACTTTCTCCCTCTTTTGCAAAAGACAAAACAGACATTTGAGAAACTCTAATATTCAATTCTCCAGGATTGTTAAGGACAGCTACCAGGCGCTGTGAGACGTGACGTAACCATCAGAGCTACTAACACCGGAGTTTCTTCTGAAATCATCACTAAAAGAGTGGGTGGATGAATTCCTGTGATGGAATTTCACTAATGACATTAAACCTGACAGTATTAGGCCATGTCTCCACTGTAGAAGCGTTGGTTGGATTTGATCTAACAGGGTGAAGGATCCATTAATTTTCTGTAGCATTTCTATACTGGCAAACTCCTTAGTAAGTTTAGTTATGCTGGTATTAAAGCTGTTGGTGCTTTCTGGGAGAATTTAAACCATAAGTCACATCAGTGAAAGCATATTTTGTCAGTGTAATCTATTTCTGTAGGACAAGGCTTGCTGGCCCTGCTGCCATGGCAGACATCTACACAGCCACATTCTTTCCAATTGCTGCCCTGGTGATGGTGTAGGCATTCACACATGGATGCCAGCAGCCCCAGGCAATACAGACAGGAATTAGCTCCATCAGACCATATGGCTGGTTATGCTCCCACAGGACAGACAGCAAGTGTGGAGACAGGCAGCAGAGCACAAGAGGGCTGAAAGTCCTGCCGTGCCCACACAGCTACAGTCTGCAAACCCAGACAGGGACACCTCCAACTGCCATCAAGCAAGGGTTGATTACTCCAGAAATTACCTTATTCTCTTACTGTTTCTACAGAGCTGCATATTATAAACCCCATTACTGTCTAAGATGGCTTGGGCCATGCCTTCCAAATCCACTTGCTTATCAGCTCTGCTTCCAGAGTCTGGCTTTTGGGAGTTCTCCCTGATGCTTTTTTTTTCCTCCCTTTTCTGAGGATATACAAAGATATGCTGTCTTTTATTTTTGAGCCTGGAATTCTGAAATGTTTCCATCAAGATCAGGCTGTTCTGAAGTCATCAAGCAGGAATCACCAGGGGCACCTCGTGCACGTTCAGATGAAGGTTCACCATTGGAAAACAAGCCCCGTTCTGCCTCTAGCACTCAAATTCTATCCAACTGGTCAGCTCTTTCTACCTGCAATTGCTATGTTGGAGTTGTGCATTGGAAAACAAGCTTTTTTTTCCTCACTGGTCACAGGCATGAATTATAAAACAAAGTGTATTTCTAAAACGACTTAAAGCTTTGTCAGACCACAAAGTCTCTGACAGAACTATCAGATCATACAACCACCCAGAGCACCAGAAAAGAAAAAAACCCATGAGACATCAAGTACTCTTGATCATTCATTAGCCTTTGCAGTAAGGGCTGTACATACATCTAAGTGCCACTGTTTCTTATGTCCAAAGTACTAAAAGTCTCTCAAAACTAGTCTCTTGTCCTGACCAGTCTGCGTCGTCACTTCCTACCAAAGAAAGCAACCAAAATACTCAAACTGTTTCTCCATGACCAAGCTCTGGATGATCTTTTTTTTTTCTTCTAAAGTAATGAGATACTGCTTAAAAGGACAGTTTGGGGGTCAAATGCCGTTGCAAAGAAACTCAATGGGATGAATCTGGGTCATTAACAATGCGTCCTTATTTCTCAATGCAAGTCAGGGAGGTTATGGTTCTGTGAATATGGATGTGGCACAGTTGGGTAGGAGGTCAGCAGCACAGAGTTAAATACTATTTTCAGCATTGTCTTCTCCTTCGGCTTCTGAGGATACAAAGCAGAAGCTGTCAGTATTCATCCACTTTAGCTCTGAAAATACCTCTTATGAAGGCTGAGAACTACCTTACAGAGAACCAGCAAGCTTCGCTATATAAGCCTGGATCCTTGGAGCATCCTGACATGAAGGAGAATTCCCAAAACCTCTCAGCACAGCAATGGTAAAAGCCTTTCTCCTCCGTGGAGTGGGGGGATGCCAACCATGCCTGTATTCACAGCGACAGCTGAGAGGAAAGCCTCTGGCTCAGCAGAACTTGGAGTAGGAGTTTTGGTCATTTGTTTTGTGTCAGCACAGGTAATTCATACATCTTGTGCCATAGCAGCAGGACTTAAATTTGCCTTGCAGAAGCTCCACCACCTGGCCTCTCTGTGGGCCTTAGGAAACTTTTCACTCTTCCAAGCATGCTATATTCATTGTTCCTTTCTCTGCAATAGTGAGTAGTGACTGTAAATTTTAGGAGAGAAAACTTCTCTTATAAATATTTTCCTATTCTGCATGAAGTCTCTTTCTACATAACCTTTGACTCTGAAGGCATTATGACTGATTCTTATTGTCTGTATGGAAGGGAAAAACCTACTAAATTATTGTTTTAGCCATAATAACTACAGTAAGTTGTCTGACCAAATCTAAATCTCTTCCTGATACCTCTTTTGCAGACTCCTTATTTCAAGCCAGCAGAACTGGTCTCATTTTAGTCACACAGAGAAAGACAGAAGTTTATATACAAAGTTCCTACACTGCTGAACAATGTATGCAATTATCTGCTACGTGCACAGAAATCACTGTGCAAGTTAAGATTAAGTTAATTGGCATGAAAAGGTGACTAATTTTGTTTTGTTTTCACAATATAAGCACATTTCTGAGTCTCTCTGGACAATTCAAAACCCTAGGCAATAAGGTTGCATCTACTCATCAGCTCCCTGGGAGTCACCAAGCTGTTGGCAATGAAAAGCAACATATTCAACTCTCTGAAACAAATGATTCAGACTACCCTTGGACGTTTCCATTTCTTCATTCACTTGTTGGAACTGAATAATTAACACACAATCACTGGAAAAATCAACAGACAGAGAAAGAGCTGCAAAAGTATTGCTATTAAGTGTTTTCCCAAATACAATAACATCCAGACCCTGACACAATGAAAACTTCAATCTGTTCTCATAAGCTGTCTCCATGACCTTGGCAGGAGCAGTACTAGGATTTCATTCTGTAAGTTCTGTAAGGAGTCATTAGTGAGAGCATTCAGGGAGCTCTCTCTGGACACAGAGGCTTTTCAAGATTGTACATCACTGTCCTTGTGCTGTTATCCTTTCAACCCACAATACAACTCCCGTTGATATCAGTGGGCATGGCTAACACAGAACAGAACTGAAAAGCATATTGTAGTGTAAGCACCAGAATAGATTTACTTGGTTCCCTACAGAAAACGTCCCTTGTTCCCTACACCATACCTGCTGTAAGAGCCCTCCCTTCCTATTTCCTAAATGAGAGTCTACCAGGGAGCTGTTTGCTGACTTGTCAGAGGATGCACCTGCTGACTGGTTCACAGCTGCCAAACAAAATAAAACAGTGGTTGAATTCAGACTGCCTTTCCCACAAGAAGGGGTTAATTTGAACCTGGGTTTTCTATCCAGGCAATGTTTTAGGAAAATATTTAAGACAACACTATAAGAAACTAGAAACTCAGTAGAAAGAGGGCTTTAACTACTCCCAATTTTGACTGAATCTGGACAAAATATTCAACACTGCTTGGGGTGACTGAGAGAATGTAGGCATAACAGTTGGTCTCATAAACCCCACTCCTTCACCAAGACAAGTTTAAAACTTCCACGCTTAGCAAATACCACCAATCATCATCTGGTCACTAGGACTGCATAAGAAAAGAGTCTATCCCCCAAATTATCTAAAAACCTGAATGAGGATACCAAACTCATCACTAAATAGAGGCAATTCTGTTCAGTCTCTAAGTTCTTGCTCTGAATGGTGCAATATTCAAATGTCTTCTTTCTCCTTGTCCTACTCTTTGTCCTAATTGCTTTAAACCCTATGGTTACTAACAGTATATTAACAATGCAGCTTACAAAGAAGAATTAGAATGGAGTTCATTAATACCTATACTCTCACCATGTGAATATACCATAAGTAAAACATATTTGATGCCAAATTTTGAGCTTTGACACATTGAATTACTTTGTTCAAAGCCCCTGTCAATTTTCCATTAGTTACTGATAAATCAAACATGCTAAAATGATGCAGCAAATAATCTCTTCCCATTTGGAACACGTGTGATTTCTTTGGGACTGGCCTATTTACAACAGCTATGATGTTCCATATACTTGGAAAGAACAGGGGATTTCTTTCCCTTATGCTCTGAAAGTCTCTTTGCTTTGCTTTGCTTTCCTTTTCTTTACCTTCCTTTTTTCTCTTTTTCCATTTATTTCCTTTTTTCTTTTCTTTTTAAAGATATGTATTGTTTTCCCACATTTCCCAGCACAAGATCTTATTTTTTCCATTGACCTAAGTATATACTGATCCTTTCAACATTTATCAGGCAACAAAAGACCAGCTTCAATGGGAACTACTTTTCCAGTGGCAGCTCAATTAACAGAAAGTTAACCTTCTGGATATCAAGTCCTTTGTATTTTCTCTGCATGTAACTTTTAGGATAAGTTCTGTAAAGTCATTGGGTTGGTAAAGGCAGACTCTAGCCTTGTCCTCTTCCATGGCTACAGCACTCTGGAAGGCAAATAACTACTGGGCAGTCTTTTGGCCTCAAAGCTGCCATCACCCCATAAAACTCAGTGCTGAAAAATGCTTCTACCTAGAAATAGCCACTCATGTGCTTGCTGTCCAAAGCAGAGTGAGTGGCTATTTGGAGATTTAAGCTCTGTGGTTACCTTTGTTTACTGATCTGCTGCATCCCTCAGTGCCATGAGTCCAGAACGTGAAGAGGGAGAACTGCAAGGAAAACGGAGGCCTTTGTAGGAGACCACAGGGAACCTGGAGCCAGAGAAGAAACATGGCAGGCTTAATGCACATAGTCATCAGAGGTCTGACTGCACAGACAGCACAGCAGTCCTCTAAAGTAGCCATAGGAAGGACTGGGTTATAAGAACTAAGTTTGTGCTCCATCGTTTCTGTACATCTTAAAAAAACAACTGGAATATGTCACCAGTAGAGACTGTAACACAGCAACTGTGTTTTACTGCAGCAAAAGTCAGCAAGTCATTGCTGAGCTTATTAAGAGTGAAGACTCAAAGGCAAAGGCAGAGTGTTGGTTTTGTAGAGATTTTTTTTCTATAAACTTATTTACACGAAAGAGAGAAGTCCCCTAGAAACAAACATGCACAAATACACTGAGCAGCTTGAAAGAACAACTGTTTTCCTCACACTGGCACATTCCCTATCTTATATTTAACCCTCCTCTCTCCTTAGCATACGTATGGATCTTTTAACTTGGATCCCAAACACAATATTAAAAATAGGTACAGATATGTAATCTCTGGGAGACTCTGCTCTCTGCATCAAGAATTGTTCAGCTGATAATATTAGTCATTACTTGTCTACCAGGCATCAAAAGAGTTTGTGATCTAAACAGGGTCTATACAGTCAAGGGAAGATATGGAGATATTCAGCTCAGAAAGAGGCATTTCCTATTTTTAAGGAAGACCAACGCAGAGCTACATAGGGTTACTGAAGCCACTCCTATTTGGAAATGCCAAATACTGTTCAGTACCTGTAGAGAACTGCCCCAGAGATTGCATGCCAAGTGAGTGGCGATGCTGCGCACTGGGCCCACATTCAGTGCGCTCTGTTCTATTCTGGGAATCCCCCCATCAGTCCAGACAGCCGAACTGCTGGCTATCATACACTCATTTCTGATGCACGACACTAATGGTTAACTTTGCTGGGGAGCAGATTAGCCACACGCTGTAAAACACACTGAACAAATCTTATTTCAGATAGTTTAAAAAGAGGTTTCAAAAGATGGAATCAGGCCTGCAGAAGTTGATGAATTTTTTCACAGAGAAATGGGGAAAAATTCCTTCCAGTAGTTCAGTGTGAAAAAATAAATAACAGAGAATAATAAAAAAAAATGTTTGGAATTGATTCTAAAGTATCTAAAGACATGTAAGCTATTAATATTTATGACATCAAATATTAGTTATATTTGATGTCTAACGAAGACTCGTCTGCTTCATCAGAAATAGCTTTCTTATTTTGTCATGCATATAGAGCCAGCCTTATTAATAAAACAAAATACCACAAAGGAAAACAAGCGGAGACTAAAGGTTCTGGTAGATTTTAAGGGTTTGTATACATGTTATGTACTTATTTTTGATGGTTTTCCCTGTAAACTACAAGCTTGGGGAAAAAGAAGATAACTTGAGTGTAAAGTTTAAACTGCTTACAAATAAGAGAGAGATGTTTGAAGCTGAATTGCCTTGTCTGGGAAAAAAAACAACTGCTACACAGCACACTTGAGAATTGTACATCAGCCTGCATTCGCAAGTCCTCAAGTCAACAAGCAGAGCAATGCCCAGTGTGGGCACAGGCCTGCACATGGCACCCACACAGCGCCAGATCCTGAAGCAGCATGGGCTGCATGGGTGCCCCATCCCCACCCCTGCTGGCCAGGACGCTGTCTGCCCTCTGCTCCCCTGTCTGACACTGGCTGTTAGGAGCCAGCATCGTTCAAACAGCAGTGGGTATGCCTACAGCTTAGGAAAAAGAGGTTAATTTGCCTCATTCACAGACCCATAATGTGTTCAGGACCTTAGAAAAGGTGGAATTACAGGCAAACATACAACCATTTTCCTGCACCCAGACCATATGATACAGGCCACAACTACCTTGAAAGCTTATGTATACCCTCTCCTCTAAACTTGCACAGGCTTTCACAACAACCTACATTACCTGCTCCAGTCTCTGAGTATCTTTATAGACATTAGTTACAATTCTTTGCCACAATAATTACATATAGAGCTCCTTTGTGTCCGTAAAGAAACCAACAACACTTCCCAAAGTCAACACTTCCCAAAGCTGCGCACAAGTGCTTGTGAAAAATTCAAATGTTACAGTAGGAGGTATTATGAGAGTACCTATGATTGAGAAAATAACTGCTGGGAAATACGAAGCTCAGCTGAAAGAAGCCCGTGCATCAGAAAAACAGCACAGCTGATAAGCTTTGGAGGGAATTAGCTCACTGCTGTGTGTCTGTGCAAAGCCAAGTGTCTGAAAAGTCCAGCAAGAGGCCAAACCTTCACACTGTGCACCTGACTGTACCCTAGAAAGATGTGCTTAAGAAGCTGTGAGTGAAGACAGTATAAAATCCCTGCACAGATGGTTTCAGTTCCTCAGCCCCGTACTTTCCCAGTGCAACCTCAGAAAATAAGAAGACAAGAAAACTCAGTAGAACCACTCATTGCAGTTCAGTCTTTACTACCAATGCTTCTGGAAAACGCCCAATACCAGGCTCCACACTACAGCACTACTGCCCTCACCAATCAGGACTGTTCTTTCCATGCTTCATTTGACATTTAGGCTTATCTAAGTATTTCATGTCTTTTGTCTGTGTGAGTAGAGGTTTTGGGATAAGTTGGTGCTCTGTGTAAGTTAGAATATGTGAATAAATTGGAAAGCTTATGTAATCATCCATGGACAAAGGATGCATGACAGTTGTTTTGAACAGAAAAATCACTCTGTGAATGAAACAAATTCCAGTAAGAAAAGATGTCACACCTACAGTATAGTTAGTCTGATGACTTCACAAAGACAGCTAACCATTATCCACATTCTAATTTTTGAAATGTAATTAACTGGCATTACATAATTCCAGCAGCACAGTAAGAGCAAAAGAGGTGGAATGCAGTAAGTTCTAATTTCACTGGCCAGGGAATGCCACGTTGCCCATTGAAAGCAGTCTGTGTTGTAAAGCTTGAATTTGCATCTATGCTTTGTAAACGTGGGATGGACCTGCATCACTGAGGAAGAATCCACAGAATGCCTCTTTATCTGCTAGGCATTATGACAGGCATGTTCAGCCCGCAGTGTGGGGGCCACACACAGCCCCCACAGCTTGCATTGCATCCCGCCTCCTGCCCTGTGCCATCACGGTGCTGGCTCTTCCCCACCCAGCAGCCCAGCCCAGGTCTGTCATACAGCAACAACCAACCATCCCTGTGCTATTAACAATGCTCAGCTGAAACCAGGACGCAGGGAGGGCACAGTGCAGTGCCAACTCAAGTTATGGCAAATAATTTTATGTATTTTGATACACTGACACAACACAAGCCTACAAACAGAAAAAATTCCAACCATGCTTTCATTTTGATAGAGGAATTGAGAACAGGTTTCAACACTGCTGAAAAAATTATCAATTTTTTTGTATATTTGCAACTCCATTTTCAGTCAGTATAAACACATGATCTGTGAATTTTCAAATGGGATGGATAGAGTTGCAATCAGATATTCAATCAAAAATTTGATTGTGTCTCTTTATCAGACTTTCATAAAATCTATCTTACCAGGGAAAAATATCTCTAGCTTCACAATCACACCCAAATTCATGTCATAATTTTTTGACAGTATGTATATTTGTGAACGACAGTTTTCAAGGATTAAGTATAGGAAGAATAAAATTTCATCAAAAATCTCTGACAAACATAGAGAACTCACTAAGAATTGCATCCACTTCCATTAAACCAAACTGATGCAAGAAATTAACGCCAAATATCCCACTAGTTTTATGTCTTTGTTGGGTTGCCAAAAGTTTGGAGACCCATACCTTAAGGGATTATGAAGAATTGAATTGGAATACAGCCCAGATGTAATGTTTCAGTGCAGGACTTTTTTCCAGCAGGTGAGTAACTAGGCTAGAATCTGTCCCACTTCTTTTTGGTGGCTAAATGGCTTCTGGATACAACACTGATGGCTGTGCATGAGAGCACTTATTTTGTTGGTCATGATGGAAATTCTGATGTGTACTTCAATCTCTTGGAAAATCCTGCACTACTTTTCCCTAGCATGAATGTTCCCTGTTGAAGAAACAGGACCTCAATCCTACTGCTATATAAATCTGATATGGAGGAACCATTAGGAAACATGTCCTTCCCTAACATAAATAATATGTGCATTATTAGAGATGTAAGACATTAGCTATGTAAGATTCTGTAATTCAGCAACAGTCTTCATCTCTGTGTTGCTGAGGAGAGCCGATGGCTGTGAATGATTTCATTATTTCAGGACACATCTAAGTTATGTCTGCAGTGTTTATTGATTTGTTTACTATTTCTTCGACTCTGTAGATTTCTCACCTGGTGCACATGCACACATACACACAAAGGAAAAAAGAAAGCAGGGATTATTTGGCTCCTCAGTTTAGCCAGCAGATGTTACATTCACAGTTGTTTCCAGTTGAGTTTCTAGTGCTCAGCAGGTCTGAAACTGGGCCATGAGTGAGAATTTTTCATTTGTCTGCACAACAAAATCTCCTGTTGCATTCACCAGTAGGGCAAAGTGAAGGAAATGCATCCTTGCCCTCCAGAAACTGGGAGGAAGCAACCATATGTGGGAAAACTTGTAGAAGACAGGAAGACAGAGAGATGTAAGAATATAGCAAAAAGCAAGAAGCAACAACAAGATGGCACTGGTAGGATTTAGAGGGCTGGGACGAAACAACAAAAGGAGCTGGATACTTGTGTATCAGAAGGAACTAATCCTGAAGACTGGACTAACAGACCTTGTTCAGATTATATGATTACATAGTCAAAGGCACAAAACAGTTAACTATGTTCAAATAAAACAAAACAGTTTATTTTTTGCTTTTTTTTCTTCTCTCCTAGAAAGAAAACAGAACTCTAATTCCATCTTGATCCTTTCTTTTAAAATTCCAGGCAAATAGGCTTGGAATGAATTAAGACAAAGTATTAATTTAACTGTGACAACCAGCTTTCTAATTGAGGACAAGCTATGACCTGTACACTGCTACTGGCAATTCT